TTTTAATTATTATCATAAAACTAATAATAATCTGTCTCTTATACACATCTAGATGTGTATAAGAGACAGATGTAGGCCTATATACTACTTCAAAAACTATCGTATCCAATTATTCAGCAAGGTATAGTAGCAAAACGTTTTTTCCCTTCTAATGTAAATTCACCAGGGATAAAGTGGAATGCCAACTGCGTTTTCTTGGATTACTTATAATGCAGAATACACTGAAGGCAGAAACTACTCCAGTCATACAAGAATTAAAGGACGCCAACATCAGAACCATTATGGTTACTGGTAAGTTTCTCAATGTAGAGGGCAATATTTCATTTTCTCAGTGGTGGATTCAAAGGGTTGGGGTAGTCGCCCCCCCCCCCCTTTCCTAAATTTTTCAAAATTAAAAAAATTGAGAAAAATGAAAATTCTACTCACACTTTGATCCTAAGAGTGCCATTTCCGGCCTCTGGAATTGGCATAACCATAAATTTTCTTCCCTCAGTCCCAACCTTGGTGGGGCTGAGGTAGTATAGACCCTCCATCTGTGGAAGTCCCTCTCTGGGCCCCCTCTATTGCAAATTCCTGGATCCGCCACTGCTTCTGGTTATCATTTTGGCGCAATTGTCTTGTGAAGTTTTACGTTCATTGTACCTAATGTACATAAAAGTATTTCTTTGAAGATCCTGTCTCGTTTCAATGCACGATTAATGGTGTGCTTGTATTACACAATTCATTACTCTTCCTAAAGGTGACAACAAGTTAACTGCACTGAGTGTTGCGAAGAAATGTGGAATGATAGGCAAAAACGAGATGGTAATAGAAATTGAAGCTACGCCACCAACGTCAGAAGGACAAGCCAAGATTGCTTACTATCCAGTCCATGATACAACCAAATGCAGTCCTGCTCATAGCTCCTCTACTGAAGGAAATAGTCGTATTGTGGTAGGCGACAATAAATACAAATATATTATATATGCCTTCTCTCTTTATACGTATCTTTAATTATGGATTTAGAAATTACCTTGACCAATGACCACATACTAGGCCTACCAATAGTAAAACTATCTCAGGAGAGAATTCGTCCGATTTCCGTAGTGACCTAGGATCATAATTATTTTCAGATTCAGATTCATATGCATAGGCCTATCACACAAAAAATGCTGTCATCAAAATTATGGTTACCTCCGCCAAGGACATGTATTTACCGATGTCTGTCTGTCTGTCTGTCTCTGGCTGTTGGCAGAATTACCCAAAACTAATACATGAATCATCATAAGTTTTCGCAGAGTATTACATATTGATATAAGGAAGAGGTGATTATTTGTTCGGCTACTAAAAAGGCCAGTAAACAATATCAATTTCACAAATAAAAAAAATAAAAAGCTTACTCATCGAGCATAATAATAAAATCGCCCATACATTATTATTATCATATTATCAATACTATTTTTATCATCTTTATAAATATTATTATTTTTATTTATATAAATATTATATTATAATATTATTATTAGTTTTATGATACCAGTTTTAATTATTATCATTTTTATCATCAAAATCATAATCATTGTTATCTTTATCATTATTGATATTATTATGGTAATATTAATTGTTAGTGTCGTTGTACTTGATAGTTTTAGATGTTGTTGGTGCTTTTAAATCTTCATTAATTCTTTTTTTTTCTATTCTTTCCAGTCGAATGAAAGTATCGCCATTAACATTTGTGATGGCAAACCTTCAATTCCGGACTCATACCATTTTATAGTTGACGGAAAATCTTTTGCCGCCATACACGAATTCTTTCCGGAGATAATACCTAAAGTAAAGCTACTCATTTTAATTTTTAATGATTATTATTCATTAATTCGTTCAGATTGAAAAGTATTCAATACTCTCTAAAGTCCACCAGCCCAATGATATAATTCTGGTTAAACATTGGGGGAGGGGAGGTTTCTTCTGATACGTAAGGCAACATAAATGAAGTTCGATATTTTAAGCTGAACTCTCTGTGTCTAAATAAAAGTACAGGCTTAAAACGGTTTGGATTAGTCCAGAAATAAGGTGGAAGTAAATAATCTCTTTCTATTTTGATAATAACTAGTAATGTGTAATGCTATATTTAATTTTCGCTATATTTGTGTATTCGTAATGCGTGCGTCAGTATTTTTGCACATCCACTTATCTGCAGATACCGTATGGCAAGAGGAATTGCAAATTGATGATCCATTCCTCCAAGAATCATATAAATAATAATGGAATACTGTTATCTTTTTTTTTATCGTAACTTTATTAAATTATATATGCAATGCTTGCGGTACACCACGTGAATAGTTTTGAAAAGAACTGGTGTTGGTTGAGAACGTCTCGACGTTTCGATTGTGTTGCTTCAATCGTCTTGATAAGACGATTTACAATTTACAGTACAGTTAGAAAGAATAATATTAAAGAATAAAATTACTCACATAGTAATAGTGTAACAGTGTGTGGACTACAGTTGACAGTGTGAACTCAATGTACACAGTGTGGACATTATTCCACACTGTGTTCACACCTTGGGCACACTGTGGCAATACAGTCAACACACTCAGATTGTTATTTTTGTACACTCTGTGTACCCACAGTGCAAACCTCATCACCAATTCCGACCTAGTCAGTGTAGTGAACACATAATTGCCTTTCACTGTGTTTTCCATACTAATTCATTTTTACGACAACAAATATAAATAATGATGTTCTTCTTACCTGTTTCTTGTAGGTTGCGTTAAAGGGAACTGTGTTTGCACGCATGAGTCCAGACCAAAAGACGCAGTTGGTTGAAGCACTTCAAAAACTTGAGTAAGTTCTACTACTACTGCTACTGCGACTACGACTACTACTAGTACTACTACTACTAATACTGCCTTCACCACTACCACTACTACCTTGGATGAATAATAATTGTATTAGTAATTATAATAATAATGATTTTTTATTTTTATAAAAATGATGATAATCATCATCATATGTTAATGATCACAATGATAATAATGGTTTGTGGTTAGGATAATTATGTATGTAATATGTGTGGATTTTTTTTCTTGTATACTTGTTGACGATGTTAAAAGCACAACCAGAAACGATATTTCTTGTAAATACAGACACACAAATCGTTACTATACTGATGGATGTCTGAATAAAATAAAACCTATGCTATTAAATAGAGTTATTCTGCAGATATGTAAATAAACGAAACCTTTCTATTGATCTGTCTCCAAAGGTACTGTTTTTTATATTTTTCTTTCTTTATTCAATTTCTCTGCCTTTAAAATTATAATACATACATTAAAAATTGAATGATATTTCAGACAGAGTGGAATAAGACTGAAAACAATTTTAAACACCAAATAACAATAAACCGTTTGCAATGTGCCAAGTGGCTGCCTATAACTTACAGTAGGTGAAAAGGATATAATAGGTAAATGTCTAACCAATATTCCTTGTTTACAGTTACATAGTTGGCATGTGTGGTGATGGAGCTAACGATTGTGGCGCCCTCAAAATGGCACATGCTGGAATATCGTTATCTGAAGCCGAAGCATCGGTAGCATCACCATTCACATCAAAGACACCGAATATCAGCTGCGTACCTACGCTTATCAAGTACGTTAAAAATCTTAAATAAGTGTGATATTTACTAATTTTTATAATTTTAGTCATCCTCATATTAAAGTATATTTCAAAATATATATAAATGTTTAATAATTAGATAATAAGTTTACTTTATATTTAATAATTGGATAATAACTTTACTTTAATATTGATTAAACACGTTTATTGTAGGTCTAAGCACAATCATTGGTTTTGTAAAAAATTCAAAGTAAACAATATATAGGCCTATTTTGAGTAAAATTTCTCTTCGTGCAAAAAAATGAGCCGTTGGAGGCGCTCTACCAAAACGAATGAAAAAAACAAAATTTTCGTTGAAGGGCTATGTTGGATACGATAATAACATCTTTCTCCTATTCTGAGCACTGTTATTATTATTATCCATTCGTTTATATTTCGCAGTAAACTTAAATACATGGCTCTCTACAGTATGATCCAGTATACGACAGTATTGATATTGAACTCGGTAAATACTTTACATTACTGTATTTGCAATTATTTTACTCATAAGTTAATACAGGTCAGTATCGTGTCTACAATATTTATTCGGCTGCGATTGTTATGTCAAAAATGCATTTTTTCCCCAGATTGATTCGTTTCCAAGTGACTGGATGTTTATGTACTGGGATGTAGCTATCACTTCCATAGTTGCCCTTTTGAGTGAGTAATTTTAATCGGTTCTGCGATCTAAGTCATTGAAACTAAAAGGTAATGGTGATCACTTATATGAGAGCGCACACTACAATATCGTCTGCGCTGATTTTGTGCTTGCTTGGTGCATGTACAATATTAAAGCCAAGATCATTTACGTGTTCTTGGTAAGAATTGACCATACCATACTAATGGAGGCGTGGGTTCGAATCCCACTTCTGACACCATGTAAGAAACACGATATTCCACATTGGGTTCATTCATTCAACTGCCTTTATTCCAGTACCGTACAACACAAACCAAGCATTAAGTAATTAGCATATAAATAAGATGATTAACATAATAGAAACACAAAGTGTGACAAAAGAGGACCATGCATTTACGTAACTACGGTGTGAGAGAGTCACGTAAAAATAATCGCTCATTAATTTTAGCATGAACACATACACATAACATTTATTATTATTACAATAATTTGGAGATATGTTAATTCTTCATAGTTCAGTAAAGATATGTTCTGGTATTGGTGATACGCTTGAACTACATACATGATTCTTTAATAATGTTTTGATTTATGCGAAATAACTCCCACATACCAACAGTATTAAGCCTCTTTAAAGTTGAAATAGCATGATGATATTTCAGGAAAGCGTCCCTCGAGGATGAGTTACGATACTTTAAAATCCTCCTACGTTGTATGTCGTTACTCTGTTATTGTTAATTCATACACAAGTATTTAACATGGGGACTTCCAAGCCACAGTATTCTTTTCAAATTGAGTCTGACCAACTTCCAGAATAATTCTGATAACTCAAATTCTATCCTGTTATCATATACAATTTATTATTACATATAACTATATCCATTATTAGTATCTATATAGGCTATACAATGTTATATAGGCCTATACATAATATGGCAAAGAAGAGGAATCTCTGTGAGTGTAACCAGGGCTCGAACATGGTCCTCATGCATACAGTATGCGGACGCCATAGCATGATCCATTAAAGCTTTTCGAGTTGAGAATTCGAAAACGCTTGAGGGGGTTGATTTGGAAAATCTATAAGTGGATACAACACTAACAATCTAAGCCCACACATAAAAATAAGATCTATGTAATACGTACTCTTCTCAAACATTTTAAACGACAAGACAGGATCTTCAAGAGATATTTTTTTTATTACTGCATAGGGCTATGTGAAAACATGACACGTAAAGAGGTAAACTCTAAGCCATATTGCGGTACGGTAACACTCAGCCTAATTAAAGCGTTGTTTGCTATTATATCTTTTTTTTTTGTTTCAAAGTTGCCCGAAATGAAGCTTTTCCAAAGATAGTTTCTAAGCGACCTCAGAGTGGTCTAATGGAGCCCGCTATGCTGTTTTCTTTGATCGGTCACGTGATTCTACAGCTAATGTTCCAAGTCGGCAGCTTTCTGATCGTTAAAGCACAGCCCTGGTAGGGTGAACTCTATATCATTACTATATTGTTTCTGTTAAACATTCAAGTACATTCGTCCGTATCTACATAAATTTTAATCTTCCAAACAATTCATCTGTTTCCAGTAAGTAGATAGGAGACATTAGTTTTGTATTAGGAACAATTGTCCAAAACTTGTGAGAGAACATTGTTTCTAACAAAAGAAAAATTCTCTTATCTAACTATTATAATCATCATAATCCTCATAATAATCAAGAAGATAATTTACCGTACCTTTTCCAATACAGTATTAATAATAACAATAATAATGATGATGATGAAGATAATGATGATGATGATGATGATGATAATGATCTATAATGGTGATGATAACTGACAATGATGATGATGATAATAATTATGATGATTGTGACGACGATGATAATGATGACGAGGATGAAGATGATTCTAATCAGTAGTAGTTATAGATAGTACCGTAGTTGACTGTCATGGTGATAATTCTCATTAATCAGTAATAAGCTATATTAGATTTATATTCAACATAAGTGATTTTATAGGTTCGTACCCTTAGTTGTGGACAAGAATAAGACGGCGAACACCAAAGGTTACGAAAGCACAACCGTGTTCCTTGTATCGGCGTTCCAATATATTATTGCTGCGTTCTTGTTTTCCAAAGGCCCTCCATTCCGGGCACCAATATACACTAATGGTAAGTACTGCTTTAAGTCAGGCTCCGGAGGAGAAAAATTGTACGGTGAATAAGATACAGATTTTTGAATATTTAAAAACTGGGGAAAAGGGGTGTAACCACCCTTTTTTACACTTTTTCCCCCAGTTCTTTTTAATGTCCTAAAATCTGTATTTCATTCACCGTTCTTCAGTTTTTCGTCAAACAACTTTTTTCTGTCTTAGAAAAATCAGTTCTACAACATATCATTTTTTTCCTCCGGAGTCTGACTGTAAGGTTAGGCCAGAAAACTGAGAACCATAGCTCGATAAATCGACCATCTGAGAAAGACCAGTAGGAAGTAATAGGGCGAAAATTTAAACAAAAAGAGATGCTTTAAATAATTATTTTTTATTTTTCATTGAAAGACTTTTTTTTAAATATTTCTACTGATGTTTTAAAATTACATAATATTATTTTAGTTTTCGTATTTTTGTAATTTTTAATCGTAATAAAATTAATTTTAAATTTAATAAAACGTTAATCAATGTTTTAAAATTATTATATAGATCTTTGTTGTATTTATATTATATTTTGGTACGAATTCTTGTAAATGTATTTATTTTAAATTAATATATATATATCATTTATTATATCTAACTTTTTATTCATTTTGTTAACGTAGGTATAATTATGTGCTTTACGTTATATCACTGTTTTATCAAATTGATTTTAGAGGTGTTTTTAATAAATTCACTTGTCTTATGCTGTCTCTGCATTATCACGTTTCTTTGGCAAGTATCTGTAATTTGACTATTATAAATATAGGCATCCGATGACATCACACCCACAGACACCGTTTTGTCACTGAAAGTTTGATGGTGTGAATAGAGCTAAAGTCTGTATTTCTTTACAAGAATCGCAAAAATAATCAGCTTTGAATCACTCGTAAGATATATAAATATAAAAAATGGTTGATATATGAGCTATGTATCAAGTTACCACACTTAGTCTGATCCTGCAGACGGTATATTATGATTTGATATTTTTGCACGTCCAACACATCTAATTACATTGGCTTAGCTATTCGGTTTAAAGGCAGCTGAACAACCTGACATAGTGAAAGTACCCCTGTGCGACCACAAACGCATATACTCAAAATAAAATTGCTATTACTGAGATAACAGGACATGGTAAATACATAAATGGAATTATAAAGTGATGAAAATTGTGTGGAGTTTTATTTATTGTTCTCTAGTGGATACTATGATCGAGAAACTCAATATAGACAGAGTCATTAACTTTGCTTCGGACCTGTTTTTATTTTTTATACTTTAATGCATTTTATCAGGAAAATTATAAGAATATTAGAAGCAGATGTTGACATGCGTTGCAACCTGCAGAGGCCCAATGTAATAGCAGCTGGTATATATTTTTAGTAAAAAGGCAGAATAACTTTCTTGAAAGAAGAGATGGTGGGTGGAAGAGGGAATCATCAATTAGGGAGAGCAAAATGCCTTAAATAATTCAAACAATCAGTTCTTCGAAATACGAACTATAAACTAAAAAAACCCGTTTAAACTATGCACTGCATTGAAAATTATCATAAAATAAAACTAGTTGTATAGCCGATAAAATCAAAATATAACGTACCGGGTCTAGTTCCTTTTGTATATAATGGGTTTCGGCGTTTCAAATAATCATGTACAGACGTTTCATATCGTATTCGAAAATCTGTGCAATTGGGCCTAGCATACATCTCAGCTGACCCCTTCCATAGTGCCGGATTAACCATTAGGCAAATAAGGCACAAGCCTTGTGGGCCAGGCGAAAATGATGGGCCATCAAAAGTTGGACTGCAATATTATTTACACTCTATTTTCCGGTATTATTAGGCCAGAAAACTCGGAGACATTCTACTGTTAGAGTTTTTGGGCCATTTCCAAAATGTGCCTTGAGGCCAGACGATGCTTAATCCGGCACTGCTTCCATTTCCCAGTAATGTTAAGTTTTAAGTACCGGTATTATCTTTGTTTGCAGTACTCTTCACCGTCAGTCTAATATTTATGACTCTGTGCACCACGTTCCTTCTGTTTTTACCGGGTGGTGAATGGGCAGATAAAATCAGGGAATTCTTTGATGTAAGTACGATAATCGTTTATTTGAATACTGTATACAATTTGTAGGACACTCCCACATTAATTTGAATCCAAGTCCCACAGTTGCACATGGCAAATTGGGCTGAGCTCATGTTCATGTTCAATCATGTTGTAAAAGCATTGAACTTAAATATAATAAAATGGTCACATGGATAGACAAAGAAAAAAAAAGCATAAACCCACTGATGGGAAATGGGTAATAAATATTAATGATACGTACAAAAACTCCACCGAGAGTTTCTGTGGGAAATTTCAGTACATAGTGCAGCAATTTAAAGTTTTTGATTGTTTAACGTACCTGGCGTTGCTATCGGGATAGACTCTGTTCCTATCCCTAAACTTTGTGTTAATCAGTGAAAAAGCTTAAAAATAAATCGATTTTGGCACATTGGCGTTCCATATTACTTTATTTGCATTTGAGTTCCATAGTATACGTCATCCAAAGATCATCTGTATTTTCAATTCGTCATTCTCGGGATCGTTATCGTCTACTTTCTTCTTGCTACTTTGCTGGAGGTAAGTCCAGAAACTATATAACAGCGTAGTGTGTAACTGATGAGCACTATAAAATGCATGTGCATTGACAAAAAAGATTCGGTTTCCATACAAACGCTAAATAATATCGCCGACAGCTTTCGGTCGGTCGAATCGGGGAGCCTTCCAGATAGCGTCTGAAAACACTGTAACGACAGTGTAGCGATTGTATGGAAACCCAGCTAAACAAATTATAATGGCATAGGCAATGGTCATCCTGCAACCGCACCTCTTGGATATTGTTTCCAAGGTTCCAAACGACAGCGTAAAAACGTACTTAAGCATGTGTGATTGTGGGACAACACGAGTCGTTTTTTTTTTTTTTGTATTTTTTTGTGTGATTTCTAGCCTTGTTGGGAGTGATCAGTTGTTTAATTTGAGTGACACTCAAAAAAGTCTATTAACAATGGAATATTGTGATGCTCTATAATATAGACCTAAAGAATAATGACAACAATGTTCAATCAGAAATGTATTCATGAATTTTGAAATAGACAGTACAGTAACCATAACACATCTTCTGTTGACATAGGTTTATGTGAAAGGAAGCAAGGTGACCAAGCGATTGTTTGCTTGTAGTGGTTCTGATGGATCTGAGACCAGCGCTCACGCCACGGTACAGAAAGAAATACAAGAAGACACCTCTTGGCCTACGGTCACATATCGACCGAGAGCACGTACAAGCAGTATGCGCAAAGAAACTGAGAGCCAACTCTGATAAAGCTACCTTAATACATTTCATTTAAAGCGTCACGTACACAGCCTCATTATTGCGTACTTGTGCACATAAATAGACTCTGGCTCGTGAGACCAGATACCTTTAATTGAAGAAAACTTTTAGTAGTCATGCTCATAACAAGTTAATATTGCGTATGCTCATAATTTACGAAAACGAAATTTGAATTTAATGTCGCAAGTATGTACAAAATATAGATATTAAGTATTTTATATTACGGGCAAAATATATCAGGAAATGTACAGAAAACAAAGTAATGTAATTGTACTTGTGATTTGATCCGCTGAAAAAAAAATTCGCTTTAATCACTCAACCTGATATTCTAGCGGTTCCCTATAGTACCATTAGCATTTACTATCGAAACGATTCTTTAAAAATATTAATACTTTGCGTTCGGAGTTTGTCAATGTATGAAATATAAGATCACGTTTGAAAGTGAGTTTATTTCAGGTTAGATAGCGATACATTCATTGAGCAGTGATTTGGTATAATTGAATTTTAAATTGTAAGAAGATGAACATTTAAAATAGTGATTGGAAAGTTATTGTAAATCTACTGTTAATACATCAGTAGTATTTAATACTTGCTATCGAAATTGATTTTTGTCACCGTTAGGGTTCATCATATACATTTAGTTAATTATTTGAAACATGTAATGATTATTTGTTAAATGATTTTAGGCTTATTTGCCACTTTAGTGGGTGAGCGATAATTGCATTTAACTGTTAAGCATCTTCAACGTGTAGGTCTAGTGTTAACGTAAATGTAGTTGCAAAAAGATAGATACGTGAGCTTGTCTCCGCCGCAAGGTTGGTGATGAAATGATCAATTTCTCTTTTTTCTGATAGACATCACTTACAAAGGGCCTAAAGTACAAGAGATCAAAGGGTTAACACTGAACGTCCCATGAAAAAAAACTGATGCCCTATAGTAAATTAGGCCTACATCCACACATTGAGATTGGCCGGATTGTGTATGTGGGGATTTGGGTAGTGGGTGTGTTCGATGATTATGTATTGTTTGTATGTGGTAAATTGGGAGTCGAATAACCTCCTTGTTAAGCGCACAAAAGTTTCAACATGGAGCTTCATTTTAACCAACTGAAACTACGATGCCATCTCATAATAGGTGTAACTGTATTTCTGTTTTTTTTTTGTTTGTTTGTTTTTGTTTTTGTTTTTGTTTTTGTGTAGTATGAAATTTTCAATTTAGTTATTAGGCCTGTACCGTATTCTTGTTTATATCCTTGTCTACCAATGCATTCTATAATTAGATATTACTCTAAATCAGTGTATTAAAAATAGTAAAGTAAGAATCCATTCCAAATAAACGTCTGGTAGTGTAGTGGATACCATGAAGCCTAAACATTATGCCTTAAATTTTATACTGTTCTCTGTCAGTGCAACTATTATTAATTTTTTAAAGAAAATGAAATAATACATTATTATTGTATTCACTAATCATTTAAAAAATCCCCTGATTTGCACTACAGTTCAACTTGTATTATACAGGCTTTGTATTATAAACATTATTATAGCGCCCTCAAACCGAAAACCCCACTGCCGGCCACTTTCGAGGTCAACTTAGGCAAACGATTGGCGAACGTGTATTTAAACAAAAGCAATAAACGGGAATTTAATTTATTAGTGTATTAAACTGTATTATAGCAGTAATGGTGCGACGAATACTTAAAAAATATCGGTACGCGTGACGTTGTATTATGTTTACAGTGCGTTCCATGTTTTACAATATTTAAACGCTCGTTCAGGTTATACATATCGCGCTGTGCATTATGATATGTCAATGACGATGATAAAAACCCCTGGTTTTAATTTATGTAAACATTAACCCGTTTTAGTGTTCAAAATAGAATATTCAAAAAAATATATTGTTTTAGCCATATATTTTGTAAGATCATAAATATGATAGTAATAAAATAGACAATACATGACAACAATACAGTACGAGTTAAGTTCTGAATTTCGAAAGTCGTTATTTTTGTCTCAGAAATATAGTTTGAATTGGGAAAACTGTAGGTCTAATTTCTTAACCTGTATGTGGAGGTCGTTAGTGCTGTATGCATAGTTCTTCATTGTTTATGTGTGGTGGAGCATTCTGTCATTAACTTAGTATAAATCATATTATATAACTACAGTGTATAATTAGAAGGTGAGTTGGCATTGAATGCATACTCTGATAGTCGGCCTAGTATGAATTAATGTGTCTTATGAGGTTTCTTATTTATGGCACCAGAAATGTTATGCACACTAAATCCAACCATGTTGGATATGTTGTATTGTTTGTTGGTTATATTTGTAGGGTCTCTCATAAATATACGATTCACCTTAGAGAATGTGATTTAATTTTTTATATACTATATTTGTAAAGTTATATGTATTATATTATTCTGTTTGCCTCTGTGGTGTTAGTATAAATAATTCATTTGTAGACTACAAATTATTGATAATACAAACTTCGAGTTTGAGGTAATATGTCATTCTTTTTCATTTACTCTGTGGAATATAACATACAATGTAGTTTTCTTCAGTTTTGTAGTATTTAAACATCCTGATACCTGTATCTTGGTAGCATTGCATAATGAAAAACAATTAATATTTCATAGACAACGCCTACAAATAAGTGAACAGTAGTAATTTTATCCCTAGTTTAACAAAGCAGATTACCTCATTGCTATAGTCAAGTTATATATTGCGGATGTAGAATAATTTTAACTAAAACGGTCCGTTCACCAAAGTGTCTTCTTGTTTTAAGCTATGTAACCGGTTTGTAGCATAGAATTGGATTGTTGTAAGAAGGCAGTTGTTGTTGTATAAAAGGTAATTATCCGTTGACCTATCCGATATCGGGCCGTCCGGTAAACCCTTCTTTGATATAGTTACTCAATTTCCTTCCACAAAATGACAGCGTACACGTACGTACACGTGTGTGATTGCGGGACATGCGAGTTTTTTTTCTGGACCTGTTTGGTTGGTTAGGCCTCTCTGTTAAGTTTCACTGATACTCTAGAGTGGTCATTTTCAATACACGGCCTAGGGTACTAACATCATAATTTTGTAATCATTATTCAATGTGATTGCAAACACGAACCGAGTCTCTCAAGAAAAAGACTGTTCTTTCGACACCATCTTTTTATGACAAAGTATTTGTGATAGTCTTAATAATGCCACGGGTTGTGTCACATAAAACTTGATAATGAATAAAGTCGAAGAGTATAGAATTGCGATAGGTCCGACTGCCCAGATTTTGTATGCACGCAATGAAACGTTAAAAAATTATTACCAGGAAATAAGGGGCGCCCTAATTACGAACGCCTTTTACGTTTTTTGAAGGATGCCCTCTAATCTATGGTAGTGTATATTGTTCCAACGAAACACCGAGAGTTGGACCTCTTCGCGGTTTTTAAATCACATGCACAGATCTGCGTAAAACCGAAAAAAGCTCGCAATCAGGCGTACAGATCACACATGCCTACTACACATTCTCCCGCATTTTAATTTTATACCTCCATGGTTTTATACTCTCTCATACAGTTAAGAAAGTAAAATAGATTTTAATGTTTTGGATATTTTCTATTTTCATGCTCTGTATGTAAAATAGAATAAAATACAAAAATCTATTAAATTACTAGTATAGTCAAAATATATTGTCGTTTAATAGGTTGACTTAACATTTATCATTCTTATTTTTAAAAAAATATTGAATAATTTTACACCTTGATGTCACTGTATAAATTGAATGTTAAGTACGACGAATATTGTAAACAATTGGAAATTTAAAAAAAAACACATTTTAAATATTGATACTGTTTTATTTACAAAGGCCTATGAGTGCGGGTTTCAAACCATGCAATAATGAAACTAATTATTTATGTACATTAATATTCTCTTATTATTGTACAGTACTTACAATTATAACACAATCTTATTCCAAACGGCTTACAGTGAGAATAAGTCTGCAATCACATGGAATCGTGTTCCGTCAACGAAGTGTAGACCTAATGTGCCCGTGAAGTATAATAACTAATTGCCTATTAGATAAAACGTTTCAATTATTTCCCATAATGTTGGTTGTATCTAAGATATTACGCAATTGTAGAGGAAGATAACTGTTCAGTCAGAAATTGCACAAGACTTTTTTAGAAACTCGTCTATTTTTGATTGCAACTGAATGTTTTCACTCCTTCGTCGTTCACCGTCAAACATTGAATTCAGTAGCATTTTTCTACCCTTGTGAATATCACCATCCCCATCAGATTTTCTACGTCTTTGAGATAATTCTGCGAAACTTGCCGGCGTCAGCGAGTTAACACGCTTCCGTGCCTCCCGCAGTGGTTTCTGTATCCGCCATTCTGTCAGTATTTTATCAGAAGCTCCAATATACGGCGGATAGACACGTTCACTGGTTGGTAATGATGTGTCGTCAACGTCTTCGCTCAAATCTGTAGTTGACGACCATCCATTTCGTCTTACTAAGATAGGACTTGGGGTACCTCTGTTCACATCCGAGATAGCCTCAATTATTTCACCCTCGCAACTTACGAGTATAGAAGGTGTAGGTGTCGGTTGTGGGTTTGGTGGCGGCTTCGAATACTCTTTTGTTTCATAATTATTCAGTAGCTCGTCTTCTGAACTGGAATCATTACTGGATAGTGCATTATTTTTTCCAACCTCAACAGTGCTCTCTGATCTGGAGAGACAGGGGAAGATGCGGCTCAATCGGTTGAATCTTCTCGTTTCCTCTATTTCTGTTGGTGAGCTCTGAGGTGTTGTCTTTGCACTGGTTGCTCTGGGTTTCTTTTGATCGATCGCCGGAAGTACGCAAGAACCGCGCTTGGAAGCTATAAATCCCGCTTGAAAGTTGTGGAGAGATTTCTGAAGATCACCTTCACTGTGTCGTCGCCATTCTGTATGTTGTATAGTCTTTATGAATTCAGTACCTGTATATATCTCTCTGTCTGTATCCGCTTTATGGTACCGTTTACCACTGATGCATTCTGGCATCGGTGTCGGAATGCGTTTCAATTTGGGGGAATTTCTTTCGCTTATTGCAGGATCTGACGCGCGAAACGCATTATTGTTCATTTGCAGATTGCGTAAATTGTAACTAGTCCTGTTCAAATTCCGTACAACTTCATCCTCTTTGGCTTGCAGCTTACCCAATTGCGTTTCAAGACTCGATTGCTCAGCGGAGTTGCGTCGTCGGGCTTGGCTCGACCTTCGATCGAGATAAGTGGCAGTTGGGCAGATTCTAATTCCGTTTTTTACCCATTTGTGTTTCTCCATAATAACGGTCAACAAAATATACGTATCATTAACGACGATAAAGTTAATCACTCGCAAAAAAAAAACATAAAAGGATGAATGAATATATATAAAAATCAACAACTATCGACTTTTTCGAATTGTAGAATTCTTTCGGACCTCCTAAGTTAATTACCGTCCGAACATTGCGATCGGTTCTGTTACTGATATTGAGTTGAAGATAGCAGACAGCAAACGATAAACAAACTAAAACAAATCACTATTGTATTTTAGTCATCATGCTAATTGCTTGGCCTTTTTAATTAAACGGGTCATTAGACAGTGTAATCAGAGATTTAGCAATTCCAATGGAATAAGTGCATGCTTGCTCGGATTATTTCACACCAGCCTATAGATACATATAGGCGTTGCGATATAATAATAATAATAATAATAATAATAATAATAATATTAATAACAATAATAATAATAATAATAATAATAATAATAATGTGCAAAAAAGTGGCAAAATACATAATTTATATGATAATGAAATTACGTTTTTATGTATTATAAAGTGTAAGTCTATGTTTTATATGTATTTTAAAATGTATTTATATCTAAGGCATTCTGTAATTGCCCATCGGCTGTCGGATGTAGTTGTGGAAAAAAAAAATAATAATGATGATGATAATGATGATGATGATGATGATGATAATAATAATAATAATAATAATAATAATAATAATAATGATAATAATAATAAAATTCATAGTAGATAATAATATAAAAATCACTTGCTATTCATTCAGTTGTTACATTTTATAAAGGAAGTATCAATAGATTGAACGAAAATAGCATGCAAGTATCTTTAATTAAAACACAAGCTGAGAAACATCATCTTCAGAACCAGCTGTCAGTGGGTATTAACACGATCCCCTATACCCTCCAACGCACAGAATGCACGTACATCGTGACTAATTACCCGTAGCAGAGCAGTCAGTACGTCAACTTAACATCCGTCTATTTTAACACTCAGCTTTCGAGGTAGGCCGATAATAAACCTGAAACGCAACGCAAAAAGAGAATAATCCTGTAACGTAATACATTCAAAACGAGAATAAATTATAACCATGAACTTTCTAGACGTACATTGACCTGTATCCCTATAATGATACATACACAATTATTATATACCGGTAATAATAATAATAATAATAATAATAATAATAATAATAATAATAATAATAATAATAATAATAATAATGATAATAATAAAGATTTATAAAGCGCACATCTCCACCAATGGTGTTCAAGGCGCATATAATATAAATTGTGAAGAATATAGATTTCAGACCAAAACAATCGCCCCAACCGAGACCCAAATTCTGGCCGACTACATCTATTAGCCTAAAACTTAACCATGATGGAGATATCAACGGTCAAATGACAAACACATAAATGCTTCAAAAATTGTAATTGTGTTTCTGTTAGAAAATATAGAAACTGTGAACTTTGTTGGTCATCTATCTGTTAATATGAATTTGTACCGCACCCTAATAAACTCACGGCGTAATTAGGCCTATATAATATAGAAAATGTTGTCGAATATACTCTTTATTGATGCCGAATGTTCAGTCTTATTATGTGAAATTACATTGTGTTTGGCTATAAGAGAATACCGTCTATGGATTGTTTAAAGGTCATCTACTAGGAGTAATATAAAGTTACGGGTTAATGGAAATGAGCAATAAAGTATCCATGCAAAATCGATTGACTTCATTGTAATGCAAGGGAATTTGTCGACGGCTCCAAAAATAAGAGTTAAAAAAAATCATAAACTAATCTTTGAAAGAAATATGAACGCTGTAGAATCTGAAACAATTGTAAACAACATTGAATTGCTCAGATATAAAAGATCAAGTACTTCAAACTTCTCATACAGCTTGAAATAATCAAGTTTTTTGTTAATTAAAATAAGTTTTACTATTGAATCCTTAAGGTGTTTGTCAGCTGGCGAAAACATCTTTTCCAGATTTTAATAAAGAGTTAATAACTGACTCAAAAGTACAAAGTTAGCAATTCAAATACTGAATTTTATTCGTCAAGTTTATTAGCCAGCTTAACACAGAAAAATATATACTGTACTGTATATAGATTGTCAAAGTAGTAAATTTTCTTTGTTTTCAATCAATTAAATATCTATCGGTGCAGGATCAAACTATGGATATAAAATGAAAAAAAACAAAAACAAAAACAAAAACAAAAAAACCCCTACAATTATTTAACGAATCCACAAAGTCGAACCGTAAAGTGAATAAGAATACGTGTATATTATTATTTCGAAACCATATCTCATGTCATGGTATTTCTGATTAGCTCACTTTTAAAAATAAAACTTCTATTCCTGTCTGAAAGCAGCTCCCCGTATCGTAAATTGTCACCATACGTGTGTAGTTAGCCTCATGTAGCTAGATTACGTACACGCGTAACTTGGTGATACGAAGATATCCAGATTTCAGCAGAAAAAAAAGGGTCCGGGGTCGAAAGAGTTTTGTTCCCCTGTGAATTTCTGCAGATAAAATTTTATAGTGAATTTGACTTGCCAGAGCCAGTCGGGGAACTCGGCCCAGAGGCCAAAATGCCTAGCCAAATCTTATGTGACACCAGTCTTTTCAACGGAATCAAATTGAATAGCAAAGTTATAACTCACACGTGCTTCAAGCTACAAGACGGCTTAATAGTAGTTAAGAAAAAGCAAAATGCTTAATAACTAAATATATAACAAATAATGAGCCTATTGTACAGTCCGACAATAAGACGTTTCCAATTTTTAACTGCGCATGTTTGTCGAAGGTCAATTCACATAAACAAATCACATGGCTTAGAGTCTATGTTTTATCGGAATTCTATGGTTTTATTTATTGATGGATATTGCAGACGGTTTGCAACATTAGCCAACTTTATACTGTACTGTCAAGACAATAAAAAAATACTTTAAGCCGTATAATAATGTTAGTTTTAAGTGACTTGACCTTCAAGATAGTCATAGTTGAGGCTACGAGAGCTTATCTATGAGCATTACTTCACCAATGCACTTTTTGTACAGCCTCACTTTGTGTCATCAGTCATAAAAGTGTGTGCAGTGCATTGTTATGCCATAATATCTTATCATTCGTATTTGTGAGGTGTTGCCACAAAAGTGTCGTGTCATACGCCCATTCACAATTTCGTCAACATAAGGAAATAGCCATATAATTGTGACTATTGTTGACAGTCAGACATTCAAATGCGTCATCATCGATAACTGATAACAGTTAAAAATGGTCCAGATATAACGTAAGCTTACTGGTCAAACATTACTATCAAGCTCTCGTTCTTCACTATCTGGATGTTCACAGTCATAATGCTGTCTCTTATACACATCTAGATGAAATCTTTGACAAAGGCCATAACAGACACTAAATTTTACATAAAAGATTTGTTTGAACAATATTTATTTTATTAGGCCTTGGGGTTCCGTAGGCTAACTGCTGCTAGGCTAGAGGCCTAGCCATACTTATTACTACTAGGCCAGGGTCTTATAGTACTTAGGCTAGGACTAGGCCTAAAACATCTGCCAATTATTAGCATAGTATAGGTCGTAACCTATTATTTGTCTTCATAGTACATTATTATTATCATATATATAAAACATTGTTTATTATCAAGAACCAAGCAAAAACATGTACGCCTACTATATACTACCGATCAAATCGTCCGCGACTTCAGTCAACAATCACATGTGAGGGAAGCGGTTAATTTTTTTTTCTGCAGGTAGCTTTAGTTTAGCCTACTGCAAGGTCAAGGGTTGTCTAAGGTAGTAAGCCAATCATTACGCAAAATATGTGTAGAAAAAAACACACTTGCAATGTTGGTGGCGCACTTCACATCTTGTTCCCTGTGCTGAAGATGAAACGAAACTATCGATTTTTGTCTATTATCTGCATTTTTTTAGTCAATTTTCATTGTTTGGTAACAAAATAAGACGCATTATATGTAAGTATAACTTTAGATTAACGACTTAATCTGTGGCAATTGTGACTGAATTTCTTTGATATTATGTTACACATCTTTTCTTCAGTTTTTTGGATAACATTTTTGGTTTTAACTATTCACATAGACATTAGACATTATACATAAAGCCACCAACCAAGCTCCATTCAATGTTTGAAAGTATCGCCTTAACCCAACCTAAATGGTACCAAACATCTAATCATCTACGAGAATTCTTAAACTTTTGTCGATTACATGTGTTTAAGGTACATTTCTTTACCAAGGCAAGCTTGGGTAGGGCTATATTCATTCTCCTTTAACCTGGAAGAAACTTCCACTGTTTGATTACCGTATGTGTTTTAAAATGTTTAAGGTCTGCAAAAACAATCTAAAGTTTCATCTATTTTTTGGCTCCGGGATGTGTAAAGCAATAACCGTTGAGATGCAGTCAAGTCAGATAATTTAATTATAAACACGAACAAGACATATTGACGCCTAAAAAATGTACATTGTTATTACGTCATCACGCTTGTTTCCTGTTCAGCTGTGCAATAGTAACTGTAAGTTTCCTTGGAGTAATGTAAATAGATTACACTAAGTTAGTATGGTGTCGTGGCTATTAATATCAAATTTAAATTTGTATTCACAATGAATTCCTTAAAAATCAAATTTATAATCATATAACAAACATGCAGTCGTACTCTGTCAGAAATCTGGATATGTATAGTGAAAATAAAGATTGTTACAAAACTAGATGTACAATCAACCGGCTTTCCTCTTCTGCCTAGATAAAATGGAAGGCATTTTGGTAACAATTTTGTCAAATCGTTTTAAACTGCTGTTGCTCTGCAGTCAGAAAATTGATGCAAATAGTTTAACAAGCGTCTAAAGTACGACGCGTTCGACAGAGATCTTTATGTCTGGCGGAAAATGTTTTTAACACCGTCGTATAACACTTTCAACCTGAAACAGTAGGCAAACCTTTACCTTGGTACGGAGACTTACGAATACGATTCATGTGCAGTGCATACTAGCGCTGACGCCACAACCGACATCGAAACACGTTTCCTGTGTTTGTTTCAAATGCTCGTCAACTCAAATATGTTGATTTCCTCTTTCCAAAATCTCAAGCAAAGTGTCATTTTATTTGCTGTTTCGTCAAACCAGCCATTCACAATTTCGTCAACATAAGGAAATAGCCATATAATTGTGACTATTGTTGACAGTCAGACATTCAAATGCGTCATCATCGATAACTGATAACAGTTAAAAATGGTCCAGATATAACGTAAGCTTACTGGTCAAACATTACTATCAAGCTCTCGTTCTTCACTATCTGGATGTTCACAGTCATAATGGACATCTACACAAAATTCAGTGTCGACGATCGTTTTCTTTTCTGTACTCATCTCAGCAATCAAATCCTGCTTCTCCTTCAAGCTAACTCGGTCTAAAAATGGTTCTCGTTCACGTAAACTATCCTGCCGGATGCTGTCACGGTCGCGTATGCTCTCGCGGTCACGCACACTTTCGCGTGGACTTTTCGCGCTCCGTCTACTGCTTTCCCGACTGATATCAGTGTTAGCGCACCGATATTTTCCACCAGACGAACGCGGTTGAAGATCCCGAATAACTCCCCATTGGCGAAAAAATAAGGCGATGACTAGAATCCATAGTAAAAATACGGTGATGAGAATGATGACTTCTTCCGTCGTAGTAGTTGATCTAGCACCTATTGGAAATCAGAACAAAAGAACAAAACAAGACAAAACATGTTAATAACATGCGAAAACACGAATCCAAATTCAAAAGCAAGAATGTTGTTATAACAATAATATTAGCACATTTAAAATATTTAAGATTCTGGCTCATTGTTTGAAATGTTTATGATGAAGAGGCGGTCTTATTTGTACGCAGTGTTTTAGGGATAGCGCTATCAAAACATACAAAGAGGTTTATAACTGTATCTGTTGCCTCCAATCGAAAGTGGCCAAATAATTTTGTGACTGTATGTAAAACAGAAGGTGTATTAATGCTACTGCAAAACTTTTATTGTTCAACATTTTCCACAAATGTTGTTTTTCTGTGCCTGCATTTTTCATACATGTAAATGTTAAATTTTGTTGACGCTCTAATAATAAATATTATACAGCCATATGTGCCGTACGTCCAAAAATTAAATTAACGAAGTCGCCTAGCCTGCTTTCCACTATTCGCGCGAATCGAATGTGTCGGTTCATGCGCATGCGCCTTTACATTTCTATCGGAATTTGTCGCTTCAGAAAAAATGCGCAACCAATCAGAGCTCAGGAAGAGAAGCTTTCGAATAAATTCGCCCAGTAGTGGAAAACAGGCTTTCAGTCGGGCACAAACTATATGCAATGGTCCTTCGACCGTTTGCTGTCTGTGATGAGAGCTTATGACATGACGCCGTTTCCTGAATGTCGACGGCAGACCGAGTGGATTTCGTTTAAAAAGATCGTATTGGGTATGTCTACGCCGAATTATGCAAATCCCAACACGCTGATTGGTCGACTTTACCCTAACCTTAAAACATAACTCTGCCTATCTTAATGCACTACAGCATGACGTAAAGCCGGTTTTCCACCAGGCGAATTTATTGGTTGGTTGCGCATTTTTTCGTTTCGCATAAAAACTCCGATAGAAATGCGAGTGCGCATGCGCATGTGGACCGACGCTTTCGATTTGCGCGAATAAATTCGCCTAGTGGAAAACAGGCTTAAGATCGGCGTAGATGCAGCCACTTTGTAAAAAAAATATCTGTGAGCGTGCATCGTCTTGTCTCGTTCCGTGTGGAATCGTGTCGGCTGTAGTGTACGTGCCTGTACCTTTAAGTGTCTGCCGATTCTGTGGCGTCATTTTGCGTGACTGCAACTTTCATAAGTGAACTTTGCAGTACGATTGCGTATTGTGTTCATAATATTTCATTGCAATCAACCAGCAGGCAGTATTTCTCAGTGTGACGTTTATAAAAATCAACTATGAGATTCTAAATTACAAAATAATATCAACAGCTTTGCCTTCCTATAATCTGGCATGAAATATCGAGTATATGCATGTACCAAGCAAACGTAATATTAGTAAATTTAAAATCAGAGATGAAATTTCATGCAATGGAAAAGAAAATGTAATAATATAATAATGACTATGACGTAATAACAATAACAATAATAATAACCACAAAACAACAATAACAATAATAATAATTGTAACTAATAATAAACAATAATAACAATAAATCATATTTATAAGATTTATAATACATTCTATTATATCACTATTGTTCATAATCATTTATAATAAGGATTTATGAATACGACTTTCGACAAAAAGGTGAAATAATAAATTGAGAAATTAAAAAAAAATACTTGTACTGTAAGACATGGTTTTAAATTGTTATCTGTGGGGAAACATGTGTCCTTTAAGCTAGTTGGTTCCTTGAGAATACCCTGGCAGTTGTGAGGCGGATACTTCCGAGCACTTTCATCTAGACATCAATGGAGCATCCAATATGCTGTACTGTAAAACGATTCCTATTAAAATTATCAAACCGGTTCTCTCGGGAGTTTGAGTTTATACTCGCATAAAGTACACGGTTCTAAAGGAGAGCATTCACTTATTTACTACGCGCAACACCAATAATGGAGACCCGAATATGTTTCCATTTACAGCAAGTATGGGAGGATGAATTTTAAGTACTGTATTGATTGATTGATTGATTGATTGGTTGGTTGGTTGGTTGGTTGATTG